GCCTCGCCACCGAGGCCTCCTCCCTCCTCCTCTCCATCATCTCTCCCTCGGCCGCCGTCGTCTTCCACACGTCGGCAGCCTCTTTTCCCTTCCCCCTTTCTCTTCGCGCGTTGGCCCTCGGGCGCCTTGTCGCCCCCCACGAGCTACCCAACGCACCCCGCTTTCCGCCCTACGCCGTCAATCGTCGGAATCCTCGGAGGAGCCCTCCCCGACTTCTCCGACGATTGAGGCGATTCAGCACCGCGCTCCCGCTCCGCCCCGCCCCACTCCGCCTGGTCCGCCGCCTCGTCCCCGATGACCATCGGCCGACGACGCCGACGCCACCCGCCCGTGCTGTCGCTGCAAGCTACACCGCCCCGCCAACCACTTCATCGGCGCCACCGGGCGCATCATTAAGACCTGCTGCCGCTGCCGAGGCATCGACCCGCCCCCCGTCGGCCGGTCCGCCGCGGACCGCACGCCCCCGCCGCCAGAGCAGTACGCCACGCAAGCGGCTCTGACAGCATCCCTCGGCGCGCTCCAAGCCCAGGTCGACGAGCGCCTCGACGCACAACAGGCCACCTTGGAGCGCATCGTCGCGCTGCTGGCCTCCAACGACGCCGGCCGAATCCAGCCCGACTCCGGCGCCCAACCACGCCTTCCCCCCGCGGCCGGTGAGTTCGACGCCGCGGTCACCGCGACCGCCCGCATCTTCCCTTGGGTCGCGCGAGAGACCGTCGACCTCGTCGGCCGCGATCTGCTCAAGCCGGAGCAGCTGATCAAGCTGCGCAACCCCGAGAGCGCCATCTCTCGCGAGCCGCCTGCCGCGGGTAGCCTCGTCCTCGAGGGTGGGTTCCTCAACGTCCGCGAGGATACCCAGGCCACGAAGACGTCGGCGTTCCTCAGGGCCGTCCCGTCCCTCCCTGCCCTCTGCCAACTGTGGTGGACCTACGTCGGCATCCGCGCCCAGTTCGTCGCGCACTCGGACCCGTCGATGGTGAGCGCGCTGTGCGCGTATATGGAGAACCTCATCGAGCTCGACGCCCTGTACCAGTACCCCGCCCTCGTCAACTACCACCTCGCCGTCTGCCGGAAACGCTTCGGCGTCGCCTCCGCGGCCGATTGGGCGCTCCTCGACACCACGGCGAGCAGCACCTACCTTCAGCCGTTCCGCAAGACCGCCCCCTCCCCCGCCGCGCCGGCCTCGACTTCGCGCGCCACCCACGCCCCGTCTCGGCCCGCCGCCGGCCCGTCCAAGCCCGCCGTCAACCCGTCCGAACCGTGCGAGAAGTTCAACCTCGGAAAGTGCTCCCGCCCCGGCTGCCCACGGGCCCACGTGTGTCTCAGTTGCCGCTCCGCGGATCACGGCTTGGTCACCTGCAACGCCGGCGGAAAAACCCGACCCCGCACCGGTGGCAACCCGTGAGTACCACGTGCTCACCAGGCGCGCCGCCTCGGTCGCCTCCATGGCCCGCCCGCCCCCAACCGGCACCTCGGCTTGCCAGCCCCCAACAGGCACCTCGGCTTGCCAGCCCCCAACAGGCACCTCGGCCCGCCAGCCCCCAACCGGCACCTCGGCCCACCAGCCCCCAACCGATACCCCGGCCCGCCAGCCCCCAATCGGCACCTCGGCATCGGCGCAGGCCGCCGACGCTGCCTCGGCCCCGCAGCCCCCAACCGCGTCGCAGCCTCGCCAGCTCCCAACCGGCCCGACAAGGCCTCGCCAGCCCCCAATCCGGCCGCTCTCGCCCCTCGCCCGAGCATTCGTCCCGAGTCGCCTCCCGGCGAGCCGCCCACCTGACGAATGCGTCGAGTCCATCCTTCGCCTCGCCGCAGGTCTCATCCCGCCGCCGCCGCGGCCCAACACCACGTGCGCGCTGCCGGTCTTCGACCCAGCCGACTCGCCTGCGACCCTCGGCTCGCTTCGGGCCGAACGGTGGGAGCCGCTCCTCGCGCTCTACCCCGACCCAGAGTACCGGGCCCAGGTGCTCGGCGCGCTTCGGCACGGCATCAAGCTCGGCTACGCCGACGACGGGCCGCTGCGCACCGCGACCCGCCTCGACGTCGGCAACCTGCCGATGGACGACGAGGATCGCGTCCACGTGCGCCGCGAAATCGCGGCTCGACTCGCCGAGGGACGCCTCCGCCTCGTCCTCAATCCCGAAGCCGAGCGACTGGTCTGCTCCCCCCTCGGCGTCGTCCCGAAGCCCAACAGCGACAAGCGCCGCACCATCTACCACCTGTCCCACCCCCGCCTCCCCGCCGCCCTCCCCTCGGTTAACGCGGGCATCGTCGACTCCTTCGTGCGCATCGAATACGAGTCCCTTGACAAGCTCCTTGACTTCGTGCGCGACAACCCGTCCGCCAGTCTGTGGAAAGCCGACCTCGAAGACGCCTTTCGGCACGTCATCACCTGCCTCGCCGACGCTCGCCTGATGGGCATCAGCTTCGACGGCGAGCACTACAAGGAATGCGCGCTCGCCTTCGGCGGCAAATCCTCGCCGTGGCTCTTCAACCTGCTAGCCGAGTTCCTGCATTGGCTAGCCGAGCTTCTACTGCAGCCGAAGGCGCACGTGGCGTCCCCCGTGTCTCACTACCTCGACGACTTCTTCGGCGCGACCGCCGCGGGCACGGACCCCTTCCGCCCCGTCGCGCTGCTCTCCCTCGCTGCCGAGGCGCTTGGGTTCAAGATCTCGGCTAAGAAGACCTTCTGGAACCGCACGCGCCTCGAAGTCCTCGGCGTCGACGTCGATTCGGTCGCCCAAACCGCCTCGGTCACGCCCGAGCGCCGCGCCCGCCTCATTGCGCTCTGCGAGCGCATGCTGGCCCGCGGCCGCGCCTCGCTCCTCGAACTGCAGCGGGTGGCTGGCCACCTGCAATTCGTCACGCGCGTGGCCCCACATGGCCGCGCGTTCCTCCGCCGCCTTCACGACGCCGCAAAAGCTCACCGCGCGGCCCCGTGGGGACGTCGCCTCAGCAGCGCGGCTAAAGCGGAGCTCCGCTGGTGGGTCGGCACGCTGCACACGTGGGACGGGGTCTCACTCCTGCAGCCATCGCCCTTCGTGGTCGAGCACGTGTGGACCGACGCGTCCAAGCGCCTCATCGGCGGCCATTGCGGCCTTGCCGAGCGACCTTCGGCGGTCTTCTCGCACGAGCTCCCGCGGAAGCATCGCTCCAAGGACATTCGCTTCCTCGAAGCGCTCGCCGTCCTTGAAGCCTTGCGCCGCTTCTCCCCGGCGTGGGGCGGCCCACGCCGCGTCATGCTCTACGCGACAACGAGAACGTCGAGTACGGGCTGCGGAAGGGCTCCTCGCGCGACCCACTCACACAGTCCCTCTTCCGCGCGATCTTCGCGCTCTGCCTCGAGCGCAAGATCGACCTCCACCCAGTCCGCGGTCGCCTCCGAAGTCAACGTGCTGGCTGACGCTCTCTCCCGCCGCCGCCTCGCCCTCATCCGTGAGCAGTTCCCCGCCGCGTACAACCTGCTCAACTCCCGCCGACCTCGCTGCCTACCCGACAGCTCAGCCGACCGCCGTCCGGGTTCGCCTCCACCGTCGGTCTCTCCCCGGCCGCCGCCTCGCTACTCTGGAACGGCCTCGCCGCTTCGACCCGCTCCCGAGCCAGCGGCACGTGCGCAGCCTTCGCGGCCTTCGCGGCCCGAGCCTTCCGCGCTTCCGAGCCGTTCCCCGCCACCGAGCGCATGCTTGCCGAGTGGGTCGCCGACCACACGGCCACGGGAAAAACTTACTCCGCGCTCAAGCGAAACCTCGGCACGCTGCGTTCCTGGCACGTGGACCTCGGCATCTCGACCGCTGCTTTTGACGGTGGCCAGCTCGAGCGCGTCGTTCGAGGTTTCAAGCGGACCTTCGGCGTTCCCCCGCCGAAGCCCAAGCTGCCCATCACCCTCCTGCTCCTCCGGCGCATGCTCCTCGCGCTCCCGACTGTCTGCACCTCGCACCGCAACCGCGCAGTCTTCTGCGCGGCGTTCTGCCTCGCCTTCGCGTGCTTCCTCCGCGCCGGTGAGATCACCTGGTCCGTCTTCGACCCCGCGGTGGACCTCTCCGGTGCTTGCGTCTCCTTCGCGCCGGACGGCTCCTACGCGCTGGTCCGCGTCCCAGCCAGCAAGACGGACCCATTCCGCCAAGGCGTCACCCTCCTCGCCCCCGCCGTCGTCGACAGCACCTGCGCGGTCGCCGCGCTGCGCGCCCTTGGCCCCCTCGACCCTGCCGGCCCGCTGTTCGCGCTCGAGGGCGGCCGGCCATTCGACCGCGCTGTCTTCGTGGACATGCTTCGCCGCTGCCTCACGCGCTCCGGCGTCGCGGCAGCGGCGTACG